ATCTTGTGCATACCGATGCCGAGGGTCGGTTGATCGTGGCCGATATTGCCGTGAAAAGTGGTTCGTTTCGGGTCGTTGCGGTTTATGCGCCCAATGACCATGAGGAGCGGGTCTCGTTTTTTCGGCAGTTGGGGCCGTTCCTGGTGGATTTAACGCGCCTAGTCTTAGTGGGGGACTGGAATGCCGTCCTGGACCCCAAGTTAGATCGGGGGCGGGGTGCTAGCGGGTGTAGGGGCGATCGTAGCTTGGTTGATCTGATCAACGATTTTGGTTTCGTTGATAGATACCGGGTCGATCACTCCGGGGGGAAAATGTGGACGTGGGCTAATAGTTGGCCTTGTGACAAGGTGGTTAGCTACCTTGACAGAATGTTAGTTAGAGGAGCCAACGTAGACTTGATAGCATTTCGAGAGCCTCTTTACCAAGGAGCCTGGTCTTCGTGAGGACGAGTTTCGCAGCTATTTGGCTGACTTTCCTCGGCTTTCGCAGACTGAGCAGTTAGCTGCGAGGGAGATATCGCGGGGGGGGGGGCGAAGTTTACGCGGTATTGAAGAATGTTGGCAGAGGCAAGTCGCACGGTCTGGATGGTTTTCCCTATGAACTGTACTTGAGGCTGTCGCACATTTTTGTCCCGATTTTGACTATGGTGTTCAACAACTGGTTCCGGCAGGGGTCCCTCCCCGACCGGTTGTTCAGGAGTGTGATCACGCTGTTGAAAAAGAGCAAGGATGTTGGGGGGAAACTAGATGATTACTAACACTGCTAAACACAGAGTTAAAGATTTTGGCCAAAATCACGCAGGGGCGTTTTCAGTTAGTTGCCGACTCTCTGTTGGGTCCTGAACAGACTTGTTCTGTGAGAGGCCGAACATTCAGAGCAACGTGCATCTGATCCGCACGATCATAGAGGGTGTAAAAGACGACGATGAGGCCGCGCTGATCAATTTAGATCAGTCCAAGGCATTTGATAGGGTGACCATCGCTACCTTACTGCTGTCCTGCAGGCCGCCGGATTCGCACCCGACTTCTGCCGCTGGATTAGACTCCTGTATCGCTCCCCCAGTGCGGTGGTACAGGTGAACTGGAAGCTGTAGGGCGCTTTTGGGCTGTCTAAGTCGGTCCGTCAGGGTTGTCCACTGTCGCCCCTACTTTATGCTTTGGCGTTGGAGCCTCTCCTTCGTCGGCTGAAGGACAGGGCGAGCAGTCCGGCCCTACGTGGAATCGCCGTTCCTGGAGGAGCTCGAGCCAGGGCTTCCGCGTACGCCGACGACGTATCTGCTTTCGTGTCGTCCCGCAGCGACATTGAGGCGGTACTGAAGGCACTTGATCGGTACGAAAACGTGACAGGGGCCAAGATTAACCGCGACAAGTCGTCCGGCTTGCGGTTAAGTACCAGGAAGTGGGTCGATCTTCCGGAGCCCTTGGGTTGGACGGACGGTCCTGTCCGCATTCTTGGAGTGTGGTTTGGAGCCGACCTCCAGCTGGAGAAAAATTGGTCTGAAGTACGAGCAAAGGTCGACGCGGCCGGTCAGACTTGGCGTCGACGGAGGTTGTTCGTGAAGGGCAGGGCGGAGGCGAGTGCCACTTACGTTTTCCCGATTGTCCTTTATCGATTGTCCGTACTTCCTCTCTGTGACGGCCAGAGGAAGCCACTCGAGCGCTCGATAACCTCCATTTCATGGAGGGGACGGGGGAATCGGGTCGACAGACGAGTGTGTGCACAACGTCCATGTCGTGGGGGGGCTGGGAATGCCACACTTGGCGAGCCACAAACTCGCCTCAAGTCTGGCTTTCCTACGCCACGCATTGACAGGAGATTCGATTATGGCGGGGATTGTTACTATCAGTCCCCCCATCTCGCGGGTTGTGCGCCATTGTAAACCCCGGGATCAATCGGATTTCCTTCGCGAGTGTCGGTCGGCCTTGTTGGCCATTCCTCCGTCCAGTGACCTTTCACAGCCTAGGAGGGTCTTCTATCATCTTCTAGTGGAGGGGGTCGCGAAGGATTCCCTACGTGAGCGGCTCGACGTGTCGGAGTAGGAGTTTCGCTCTTACTGGTCTTGGGCGCCAGCGCCGGATTACCTCAGTAACCCTGAGTTTTCGCTTTCCTGGCGATTGGCTCGAAATCGGCCGCCTCTCAATGACGAGGTCTTCATATGTGGCTTGGCGAATTTGCCAGACTGTGAACGGTGTGGCCTTGGTCTGAAAGAAACGGCTTTGCACGCCTTCTACCATTGTCCCCGGGTTCGCCCCTTATGGGACCATGTCGGTGAGTTGACGGCTCGTCTCACTCCCGAAAAACTCGTGCTCATTGATCGCGCATACGCGTATGACAATGTGTTGCCTCCGTATTCTGGGGTGAAAAGGATGGTGTTTCTTACTGTTGAGATGTTGAGTGTTTCCCCGTGCGTGTATTGAAATAAGGACAAACACATACGTAGGGAAAAATACTGGTATATCTGAAGAGGTATTTACAACAGAGAGATTAGTAGTCAACCGAACGCAGGTTAGTCAGTAACAATCAGAAAGAGTATAATGTCCAACTATCTTCCGGTAGAGAGACGGAAGTTTGATGGTCACCTGAACTTCCCAGAACTCTATAGAACTGTCCTATTAGTAGTAGAGAGATCAGTCCATTCTGCTGAGAAGGTGTGTGCGCCCCAACACTTACGCTGCTGACCACGGACCGAATGGTGATTTGGACGACGTGAATGAAGAAGCTCTTGCAAGGCACACGTCTTTCTCATCAGGATCTTCAGCGAAAGGTGGGTGAAAGAGGCGAGCTTGGTTCGTTTGAACGGGGCTAGCCTTGATTTTCTCTTTTAGGTCAACCTACGTCACATCGGGGTGGTTTCCTGTGGAACCCTCCCCTTAGTAAGGTTAGACAAGCTCTTGTGTACCTAGTTAATGCGAGTGAGTGTTGTTCCTGGCCTGTACTCGGCTTCATCTTTGGTTATAATCCAAGTTGAGATTCCCAACCTCCCCAGTTTGTTTTGACCCCATTTTATCTCGACTGTGTCAAATTTTTCTTTTCCGTGTATATTTTCTTCTTTTCCCACTCCCTTAGCGAGAGAGCCTCTTGATTCTGTGCAATGGGCAGAATACAGCGGCCTCTCCTTTTTGAGGGTTGGACGGGCCCTACTAACATCTGTTATGTTTAGTTTACTTTGTGTTCATGTTTAGTTTGTTATTGGGCTCATCTCCCTTCCCACTCATTTTTTCATCTTTAGAATTTTATATATGATTTATGATCATGAAATTTTTATGGTATGGAGCGTTTTGTAGGTTCCCACCTTGAAAGGATGTGGTATTATGGTGTATGAAGGAGTGGTTGGCGATGGACGAGTTCTTGTGGTGAATGTGCAAATTGTAATGAATGAATGGGTCGTGAATCAAATTAGCTAGTATAGGATAGTTAGTGAAGACCAGCCTCACCCCCCCCCTTTCGGCCTTGTGCCACAATTGTATTTTTATGCACAATAAATATCAGCTGCTCGGCCTGGGGGCCTGGATCAAAGTGTAGTACGCTACCTTTGTGAGCTTCCGGTGCTTCGTCGAGAGAATACTCTTCGGCGTGATCCCGTTTCCGCGGTCGATGCGCCCTGGAAGGCGTATCACTATTCTGACTCGGCCCTGTTTAGAGACTTCGGCTTCGTCAAGTGCTACACTTCGGCGCGATCCCACCTACGTGGTTGATCCATCCTGGAAGTCGTATCACTACTCTGAACCGGCCCTGTTTAGGGACTTCGCTTTCGTCAAGTGCTACGCTTCGGCGCGATAGTCGTATCACTACTCTGACTTGGCCCTGTTTAGGGACTTCGCCTTCGTCAAGTGCTACACTTCGGCGTGATCCCGCCTAGGTGGTTGATCCACCCTGGAAGTCGTATCACTACACCGACTCGGCCCTGTTTAGGGATTCGTCCTAACCGACCGGACGAATCTTCGTTCGTCATCAATCAACCAGCTGCTGTCGCCGACAATTCTCCCATCCAGCAGTCGACCAGCTACTGCCGCCGATCAACTATACACTCGTTTCGCCTATACAACCGAATCAACTTCCCCTGAAGGAAACCAGTCATACGGGACCTGACACTGATTCAAACATTCACTCTTTTACATTTTGGATAAATAAAATCGACGTTTATTGTTTTTTAGACCTCTGCCTTTGTCCCCTCATTGTCTTGGCTGTTCACACCTTTCTTCCATAAGCTTACGGGGGCGACATCCTTATCGGCCCCGCAACAAATGGTGACCCCGACGTGATTCGAACACGCAGCCGCAACAAAACCATTCAAAATCAATGAAGGAGTCCGGCTAGACAATGCTAACTATTACGATTTCAAGGGCAAGACTTTCTTTTAATGGGACAAGTTCCAGTCTCTCACTTTCAAAGTGAAATGTGTATTTATGAACGACAATGTCCCTTCTCGTGTATCTAAGGTTACCCGTGACTGTTTAGCATAAAAGCTTTAGAGGAGATAAGATGATGGAATGGCCACTATCAAGTCCCAATCTGAATCCGATCAAAAATCTATGACAAGCTGTGAAGGTGGTAAGACAGCAAAACCTGCCTATAGGGAGCAATTACAACTACCATGTCGTAAATTCAACATGCTGAAGTAAGGAAATTAACAAAATCAGTGGATAATAGATTGCTGGCTGTTATTAAGAAGATGGGTCATTATATTAAGATGTAAATGCTTCAATTACTTACCGTATATGTTTGTTATTTGTCTATTATAGGTGTTTGTCAATTATTGATGATTTTATTTTCTTGTTATTGAAGTAAAAAGTGATTTTCCGGTTTTACATAAAAATCTCAGACTGCAGTTTTTATAATAAATCCAATAACTTAAAAAAAAAATTAACTCGAGTTTTGTTTTAACTTTAAAATTAACCGTTTAAAATCTGATAAAAATGTTCAAAGCAAATTTGAGTTATTGAGGTTTATGTAATGTACATAAAAACTTCAGTTTCAGGCGAACTGTATATTTCATGTACGTATTTGCTTTTTAAATAGATTCTTATATATATATAGATAGATAGATAGATAGAGAGAGAGATAGATAGATAGATAGATAGATAGATAGATAGATAGATAGATAGATAGATATGTACCATGTCATTCAGTTGCCCTTTTTATTTGGATTCTCCTCTAAAAATTAGTGAACAACGAAAAAGCAAATGAAAGTTTATCCAATAAAATTTAATTTGGTTACCCGCTATATTTTCATACAGTTATCCATAAAAACAACATAACTTCTTTCCTTATTTATTGCTGATTTAGCGATTGGATACGCGCCGATCAAGTAGGATTTGGTTCTACTTGGGAGAAGAACTCTAAGAAAAAGTAACAACCGCCGAGGATAACCACGCCAATATATTTTTGATGATGTCATTATCTTCAGTTACTTGTAGCATGTCTTCTACTCTCATTATGTTTATTTTAAAGTTGTTCCTCTATTGACATTACTACCCCTGAACATTCTCGTACAAACAGATGCAACGAAATTTTCTTATCACTTGCTCTTATTGCCCCTCCTTCGCCAGCAACATTTTGTACATTACGATGACAGTTAACGACTGGAATCTGGATAACATCAGATGATTTTCACATTGTCATCAATTTGCTTTGTTTTATTTACTTTTCCTCTTCGTCGAAATGTTGATACAAACACTGCCCATCCCAAACGACTTCTAAACAGGTAAAATGTATAAAAGCAGTCATTTGTGTAGCTATCGTCAACATTGAACGATTCCCAAGTTCTGCTTTCAGGTCAGTGCAATATTCGTTGCTTCGTTCAATTTTAAAATCTTACTTTCGTTATTAATCAAATCATTTCTTACTTTGTTGCTTACAACTCCGTTGAAATATCGTTTGAAAAATGGAAATGGATAATTTTAACTGTACTTATTGCGATTCATCTGTCTTTTTATATACATTCTTTTCATCCTGTTTTTACTCTTTATCCCTTTATTTAACTACTTTCTGGTGTAGTCTTTATTACATCAATTTAACATTCGTCTAGGTTGTTTTTTAATACACGTTTTTAAGAGAAGTGCATTTTTCAGAAGGCCAGACGGTTTCTATAAAAATTGTTACATTTTTATGGCCCTTTTGGCCCAAGCGGTTGACCGCCAAAATTATTTGTTCAATTGTCGCAGATACATTTTTCGAATTCTTGGACAAAGGTTTCATATATATATTGGCCAACGAGAGACGATGTCTTGAAGCCCTTGTGAAAATCTGAAGTAGGTCGGTATGTCGTTGTTTTTTTTTTTGTTTGTTTTGTTTTTTGTTTTTTGTTTTTTTCAATAAAAAGGACTGCTATGAGCGGATAGACGGGAGGGAAAGAATGAACCGTTGACAAGAAAGCAATTAACCGAGGAGGAAGAAGGCATTAGTGCTCACGCTTCAAGAGGATTAGTGTTAGCCGAGGGGTCATAAATCAACATGGGAAATTCAAAGGCAGGTTCAAACACCAGGACAGAAAATTCCTTTCTGTGCCTTTCTGAGAATTTTTAGACCGAAAGAACACATTTAACTTTCCAGCAAAATACTTCAAAGGGCCCTCGAAATAACAATTTGTGAAAACACGAAAACCCCTTCGATTTGAGACGTCCTATTATTGAGTATTCTGTTAAGAACGGGGGCCGGTTTTTTCCTAAAACATTTTTCCTTATATCTGATGGTAATCACCTTTTTGTAACCTTAGAAAATTGTTATCTTGCCGTAATAGACATGCAAGAGGACATTTTTGTGCAACCCTTGTATTGTACTTTTTTTCTAATACAGTAAAATAAATGTTTTTTTTTTCTTTTTAAAATTTTACGCAGTGGGTCTTCCTTTGTAATTTCACTCTTATTCAAAGTGCCTTTGCTGTTTCTACTAAGTTTTGTGTCTGGCCCAAGAACTTGGATTTACTATGAACATAATTTTTTTATACATTTGAATCCGTTAAGTACATACAAGTTAATTTTGTAACTGAACAAAGCCATAGCATAAAATATTGATGTAAATTATGTGTGGTTGTATCACCTCCAACTATTCTTTGAATCTTTTAATTATTCCTTTATTATTATTATTATTATTATTATTATTATTATTATTATTATCATCATCATCATCATCCTTATTATAATTTTGTGAACAACAGTTAACTGAATGGAATATCGAGATAAATTCCGTCTTATGCTTTCCAGATTTCTACTTTAGACAAGTTTTTCACAAATTTCCTTTTTGTCATACATAGAGCATTAGACACAAAACTGATGTGATCGCAATAGCACATTTTGTAATGTAAATCATAACTCATAAAGATAATTTCCATCTCAGAACATCATGAAATATAACCGAGAATAGACAGAAACTAACGTCACTGAAATGAAGTCGTAAGTTAAAGAATTGTAGGGATTATGGACTCAGTTATATAAATGCCTTACAGCAATAACTTAAATTTGATGAAATTATGAAGTTAAAATCTTAAACTTTTGTTAAAAA